ATACATATGTACATACATATGTATATTTCTATGTACAATTTATGTATATAAGTAATTTTAAATAAATAATGAATTTAATGTTACATCAACATTTTTTTTTTTTTTGGGACAAATGTACCTATTTGCTAGATTCATACGTGAGGCGTTTATTTTGAAACAGGCATAAGTCACTTGACCATATTAACCAACGTAAAATAAAGGACATTTTTTTTCAAAATGATTTGGATTCCCAACAACTTGTATAATAAAAGTACCTTACCCATATCGTAATTTAAATCTAATATTTACCGATTAATTGTATTATTTAACTGTACAAGTTCCCCTGCTGCAGCGAAAAACTAAGCCAAATCCTTTTCAAGGACTTCGCCATCCTTTGCTACCAAAATGCGTTTACCATAATTCATACTGCACGTCGAAGCCAGCACACAGTGGTTCAAAATTGGAATTTAATATTCATAATTCACCGCAGCCTTCATTTTTCAACCAACTTACTAAAAACCATGGATGAAAAATGGAAATTTCAGACTGTACCTAATATCATAAAATAAATGCACCTAAATGAGACAAATTGTACCTAAAAAAAGTTACATCTTTCGTATGTAGTTTTTTAATAATATTTTTTTTTTTTTAAATATGAATACAAAAGTTGGATGTACTTTAAAGTTGATTAGCTTTTTTTTAACTGAGCTTATATCTACCTCCTGAGTATAGTCTAATGGGAATCGGAGAAGCTTTCTTTTTGCCTAATTTTGACTACTGAATAATATTGGTGAAATAGACCAAAAACACACTTTGCGAAGTTTAATTTTTTCCAACTTTTTATAAAACAACAGGAAAAGTCTGCTAATTTATCCGATTCCCTTTAATAGATATATTCCAGAAATCAAATAGGGAATATGGGTAAAATAGGTATTGCCTCTATTTGAGGCCCTCAACTACAGAAAATATGAAATTTGAATAAATCCTAGACCCAGGACTGTATGGGCGAATAAAATTAATAGAAAAGTTAAAAATGTTATCACATGCGATGAACTTTAGCTTTTATGGTTTCAATAGATTAAAAAATGCATTCCTACAATTACAAAGGTAGAGCGTTTGTAGATTTTACACCGGCATTCGAGAGGGGAGTACATCGGTCTAGGGCGCAATGACATTTTATGGAAGAAATTAATTCCAATTTCGAATATAAAAAATATAACAAAAATTACGAATTTTAGGATAGCTAAGTAAAGTGTTAATTTTTCGTAGTGGCTGCTCTAAATTCAATGTAAAATGTTTAAGAGAATACATAATATGATTTTGTTAATTTCTTCCTTCTGACCACTTTTGCCCACTTTTTTCCATGCCGCCAAGTAAATATATTATCACAGTAAAGGAAAACAAAAAAAAAAAGAGAATAATATAAATTCATCTGATCAAAAGATGATTGTACCTAAAATCTACTGATTGTACCTAATGTACCTTTAGGTCAGCAAACGTCGGAAAATGGTACAATTGTTCCCAATTTTTCATCCCTGCTAAAAACCAAGAAAAAAAATTTATTTTGGTGAACATTTTTTTCTAACATTTCAAATTTTTTTTGTGTATTTTTTTTTAGTTTTGGGAAAAGCATACAATTGTTTTCAAATAGTTTTTTTTTTATGTAACATTTATAACTGGAACAGGAGAATACATATTGCACTAAAAAATTTAATATAGTCAAATAAAAGTTCAGAAATCAGGCTCAACTGGTCGTTTGCAAATATCGTAAGCTTTCATAAAAATAATATAAAGTAATCATATTAAGTGAAAAATGAAGGCTCCAGTGAATTACGAACACTAAATGCCAGTTTTGAACCACTGTGCAGCAGGGGGTTTATTGTTCTCTTTCAGTGGAACTGGAAACTCAGCGTACAATACGATCCTGGGCACAACTTTCCCTGTGCTTTATAGATTGCACAAAGATTACTGGCGAAGGTTTTCATTATATTTTATAAGGAACATTTTTATTTTTCATATTCTGCATTTAACAATTATTTTATTTATTTTGAAAAAAAAAATTTAAAGGACAAGGGGTTAAAATAATGTAATGTCCTTTAAAATAAAGGACGGATGGTCACCGCACCTATAGTTCACACTGCACTACATAACATAACACTATATAAATAAAAGTTTAAAACTTTGTAGAAAAATTTAGAAAAATTCATAAAATTTTCTAACTTTTTAATCAAAATTTGTAGGGAAATTTCGGGTATGCAGTTTAATAGCCCATTTAACGTTAGTAACATAATGAGCAACAAATATTTTTAAAAACTGCTTTTATGTATGAACAGCTCGATCTTTCGAGGTATTTTCAAATGTGTTCTGCTCACGTAAATCTTAAATTTTTTTCCGAAATATTTTGGCGGAAGTCTTAAATACAATAATTCCGAGGGAAAAACAATATAGATTTCTTTTTGCATGGAGAGTGATGCACCCTAATGTATTTACATACATTTGTATGTGCATACATTTGTATGTGTGAGGCAAGCGATTTTTGAATCACCATTTACACGAGTGATTTTTCCGGAGCAATGTTGAATCGCTTAGAAAATCGCCGCATGTAAATCCAGCTTTAGACTGTGTCAAATTAAACGAAAATTTGGCATCTTTTTCCGTATTTTTTTACGCTTCTTTTTCGCCGTCAAAACACTAGCGCGCCTTTATTCGTGTCTAGTGACGATATGTACTATACGCTTTCGTTTCCATTAAAAATTAATCTAATATAATCATTACAGAAAAAATCAATTAAAAAAATATTAAAAGTTGTGAGTGTGTGTGGGAAAGATCCTTGTGACTGGTGTGAAGTAATTACATATATAAAATGTAAAAGCTTCCATAGGCAAAAATTACAGCTGCATTTTATTATTTTAACAACAATGCAACAGACTAATGAGAAGTGATTATTTAGCAAGAGGTTACTACTGAAATAGAGATAAATAAGGCACTAAAAAATTTATGTCGTTTTCCGCTTTTACATGGAATGACCCAAATGTGACCACGCCCATTCGGTTTAAGCCAGGGACGGAAAATTATTATTATTTTTTTTATCTTAACCAAAAAATCAACATGTAAGCGCTACAAAAAAAATTTTAACGATGTATAGATACTCACATGATTTTCATTTTTCAAGCTTAGCCAATAAAAATTAAAAATAATAATTACTATTGAGTTTTATTTTTTCACTTAAGAATAATAATTATTCAAAAAACTTGAAAGCTGTACTAGCGGGATTTCCAACGTATCTCTTCATAGGTGGCGGACACCCTAATAAAACGTAATATGTAAATGTCAAAATTTTCAGGTAAAATTTCAGTTGGTTGCTTCTGTATGGCCTTTTAAATTGCATAAATAACCATTATTATAAGTGGACAAATAAAAATTAATAATAGATAATTATTATCCCTGTGCGAAAAAATTAAAAATGATAAAATAATCATTATTTGTAATCGACAAAATAGAAATCAACTAGAAATTATAGCGACTGAAAAAAAGTAAACTAAATAATAATTATTATCTTTGAAAGAAAAAAAAATTATAAAATAATGATTGAATGCTGATTTCAATTATTTTGCTTACATATGAGTACGGCTCCTGATTTGAGCAGATTTTGAAACAAACTTTCTGCACTTTATTTCAAAGAGAAAAATTGGTTCTGTAGTTATGTAACATCCATACATACATATATACATACATATGTATATACATCACTTGAAAAGCGCGCATCTTCGGAACGTAACGAAATGAAAGAGAATCCAAACGAAGAGCTTAAAATCGTAAGAGCGAAAAATCGCAAGAGCGTGAAAGCGTCGTCGTCAACGCGACGTCAACTCGTCACAAACGAGACGTTTCGACGTTAACGAACAGTTGGCGATGCGAGCGCAAAATAGAAAGACGTCGTAGTTGCTCAATTACATTAAAATAATTTTCAGCTTGTAGCTAGATACTAAAAGTTTGAACGAATCCACAAAAAAAAGAAGCAAATGGATGCGGAATTTAATAAAAAACTTATCAAGCTAGTGAAACAGCACGAGTGTTTGTACGATTTTAGCGCACCAGAATATAGAGACCAATCGTTGAAGGAATTAATTTGGAAGAAAATTGCAGACGAGTTAAATACGAAAGGTGAGGGTTGTGTATACAATCGAATTATTTACATATGTACATGCGTATGTATGTATGTATGTATGTGTATTAGGGTGTTTCATTTTTAGGCAATATTTTTGTTCTCTGTACTACCTGAAAATATGATATTTCATAGAAAAAAAAATTATGCATTTGAAAAAGAATTCTATCTGCCCGTTTCACAAAAGCAATTTAAGTGACAAGAACGGAAAAATGACACTGAAGATGGCACAATGCCGAAACCGGTTTGTCTGCAAACCAAACTTGACAAGGGATGACGGAAATTCGTTCCAAAATAAAGGAAAAAAATTGTTTTCGGTCAGATTCCATATGTATTCAAATTCAATTAAAAATATCAAAAATGTTCCTTATGATTCATTTAAACCATTTTTGAGTGATAAGAGGCCTCGAATGGTGTCGGTTTTCATTTCATCAAATTTCAAATCACTCTTTACCGCTAAAAGAGTTTTAACTTAAAAAAAAAATAAAACCTTATTGCACATCTTTGTACCATCCCAGTTTTTTAACTCAACTTAACATTCAAATAATAGGTGGTGGACACTCTAATTTAAAATATTATCAGCTTAAAGTTTTCTTAAAACTCTTTCGTTTGACACACATTTTTCGATATTTCATTTAGCTGTTGTATAAGTAAAACAAACTCGAATTTTCAACCAGGTGGCAATCTCTTTAAAAGTATTTTCAGACTAAAATCTTTTTAAATTTTTGCTATCTGGTATTTTGATATGTACGCATAAACTGATGAATTAAGTTGAATTTGATTTTTTTTAACACATGGCAACTCTCCTAAATACAGTTCAGAAATAAATTATTTTCAAACCCATTTCGATTGACACCCACTTTTTTCGCAATCCATTTAGCTTAGTTAATAATTTTAATTAAATTTCTTCAACAAACGGCAACTCTCTTCTGACACCCTAGAAAATTCTAAATATTCAAACTAAGTATTTCTTAACACTCGATATCCATATTGCAAAATTTCATGTAACTTGTGTGTATTTAAAGTAAATTCGTATTTCAAAACAGGCGACAAACATCTTCAAATTTATTTTCGAACTAAAATCTCCTTAAATATCTTTTGTATGACTTTGTTATAAATATTTGAATTACCTGATGAATTAAGTTGAATTTTATATTTTAAACACATGGCAACCCTCCTAAATATAGTTCAGAAGTAAAGGATTCAAAACCCATTTTCATTGAAAATTATCTTTTAATAATTCAATTAACTTATTAAATAATTTGAATTTAGGCTTTTAAACTGGTGGCAACCCCCGAACACATCAGTCCAGCGCCTTCGTCTTGGCCTGCAGGCTGTATCGGAGATACAGCCGCTAAATTTAAACGTAGAATACGTGGTATGGTTAAGAGCATATCCAAGTAAAAAAACAAAAGCACACACTAAGCAAAAAATATCGATAACAAAAGCGATAATAATATCGGTAGCAAAATCGATAAAAAACATCGATAAAGAAAGCGATGAAAATATTGATATCAAAATCGAAAAAATATCGAAAGCAAAATCGATAACAATACTGATTACAAAATCGATTACAAAATCTATCTAAATATCGATTACAAAATCGATAACAAAGTCGATAACAAAATCGATTATAAAGTCGATAACAAAATCCATAACAAAATCCATAAAAATATCGATACCAATATCGATAGCAACATCAATAAAAATATCGAATATAAAACCTATAAAAAAATCTATAACAATATCGATAGCAAAATCGATAAAAATATCGGTAACAAAACCGATAAAAGTATCGATGACAAAATCGATAGCCAAATCGATTACACAATCGATAACAAAATCGATAACAAAATCGATAAAAGTATCGATCATTATATCGGTAAGTTCCGAAAATATCGATAACAAAACCAATAACAATATCGATAACAAATTCGATGAAAATATCGATAACGAAAGCAATAATAATATCGATAGCTAAATCGTAAACAAAATCAATAAAAATATCGATGACAAAACCGGTAAAAATATCGATTACAAAATCGATTAAAATACCGACAACAAAATCTATAAAAATATCGGTAATAAAATCGATAACAAAATTGATAAAAATATCGATAACAAAATCGATAAATAATCTATCATAAAATCGATTACAGTGTCGATAACAAAATCGACAACAAAGTCAACAAAGTATCTATAACAAAATCGAGAAAAAATATCGATAACAAAATCGAAAAAATACCGATCATTATATCGATAAGTTCCGAAAATATCGATAGCAAAATCAATAACATTATCGATAAAAATTTCGATAGCAAAATCGATAAAAACATCGGTAATAAAACCGACAAAGTATCGATTATTATACCGATAAACCCCGAAATATGTAACTACTTACGGACACATACATACTTTTTGTCTCCTTCCCACACTTCCAACGCATGCCAACGTGTTTGCAAAATGATGACGAGAAGATTTTGTATGGAAAATCATTTATGCCCATATATTTGAATAAAATAAACATGTATAGAAGATATCAACCAATACTTCCCATGTACCAAACGAAAGGAAAACTCTTGAATTTTTGATTAAAGAAAACAAAAACAAAATCATTCGAGCGGTTTTCGAGCATTTTGGTAATGAAAAAAATTTGCAAATTTTTTCAACAATTTTTTGCCTTAAAATGCTCAATATTTGTTAAATTTATATAAAATTTGTACCCGATAATATTTCTACTGCTCCAAAGAACCTATATCCCGAAAATGAAAGTTATATATGCCAACAATAAGTTGCTAGCGCACTTTAAAGGCTCAAAATTGACCCCAAAATAAGGCAATGTTTACCGTTGTTTTTACGACAGAAACCGAATTGGTTATTTACAAAAATGAATCTTTCGACAGGTTTGGAATTTTATCTTTGAAACGCCACACTTTTCTTTGAAATCGCTTTATTAGTTCTCGTGCAATAAGCGTTTTTGTGAAGCTCTAAAAATTACAACTACAACATTTGAACATAGCCCCCATACCTTAAGGTAAGACGTATTCTACGTCAAAAAATCTATGCCAAAAAGGAATAACAGCAACAATTTCAAAGTTTTGTTCAATATAGAGTTTTGCTTCCTTCTTGGCATAGGTTTTTTATTTTAATTTTTTAGATTCTTTAACGTTGGTGGCATGAAGTTTTTTCCTGAGAAGACCTCTAGTAAAATTATCCCCTAACGAACTCC